CCTGAGATATTTCTTACTGGCCGCCATGAAGACAGTTAGAAGTATCTCAGGGAGCTCCATTTCATCTATGATTATACTAAAAGAGTCCTCAATAACACAAGAAAATGGGTCAATTCAAATCTGTTTAAATGTCCCTGCAATTGTTCCTTAGATAGATTTTAAAACATAACAAGCTTTTAAAACACTGCTTTTACACTGTATTCACTTTACAGGTACTAGTTGGGTATAACCTGTCCAGACCCTTTAGCTATATATGTATTATCCAAAGAAGGATTAAAAATTATAGTATACTTGTTAATCTGTCCTGAGAAGTTAATTTTGTTACAATGTAACATGGATAAGGTTAGAAACCATAGACTTTTTGCCAACTCATGAAAAATGTTTTTTTTATTTAAAATATAGCTTCTGTCATGATGCTTTTAAGGGATCTGACCCACATGCAGAAAACCACTCAGAAAACCAATGGAAGGTTTAACGGGTTTATTGATGAGGACAACAAGAGGCGGAATCTTGAATTCTGAAAGAGCTGTCGAACCGAAACTAGAAGTGGAAGGGAAGTTCACAGCAGTTAGTTCAATGGCCGTAGGAAACAGAATAGAATTCTTGAGCATGGAGGAAAAAGGGACTCACGTTGGAGGGGATCTCAATCAAAGCTTTGAATCCAGAATGTGTGAGTTTTCCAGAGGGAGAGCTACTCGTTGGAAGGCAGACAGGTTGGTGGAGTTGGACCCTGAGAAGTATAAGAGCGGACTGCCACTTAGATTTCCGACGGTACTTGAACGGATCGTGTTGAACATTTCCCCAGCTCAGTGTGAACACAAAATATCCTTCCTGGTAAAGAAAGGCCAAAAATTCCAGTCAGCGGGAAGGCTTTATGCCAAAAGGAAAAGACAAAAACACTGTTAGACTCAAAGAAACAAAGCACAGGTTAAACTTAGCTAATCACGGCTTGGCTAGAGTACCCAAAACTGGCAAACACTCAACGGCTGAAATACTCCCCAGTGATGAACCAACGAGCCACAGGTGTGCAGGAGGGCCAACGAGGACAGGGCACCACCTGGTAGTGGAGGGAGAGACAAACACAAAACAACCCACACAAACTAGATTCCTAACAGGTTTCCTGTTTCCTTGCTTTACTCCATATCAGTTGGTGGCGGTAATGCACATTTCACAAGTTTGCCAACCGCCATAAAATCTCATAAGAAGAAGAAGAAGATTCCTAACAGCTTCTATAAAAATGACTGTGCAGTATTTAACTGATAATAATAAACTTTCAATGAGCAGATAAGTGATAAAGAGAATTTCTCTTTGTGCTTCCTCAATAACAGTAGTATAAAGTACTCATTTAGTTCAGGACTTATAAACCAACACTTACCAGATTACAGAATCATATATCAGATAAATTAAAGGGTAGTGTCCTACAAACCAACACGTGAGGAACACGTACTTTGAAAGAACTGCTGCTCTGCAAAGTTAAGGCAGGCCACATTTTGCTTTTATTAATCTTCTGATGAAAACAAAGGGGTAAATTATAATAATAATAAAACTGAAAATATTGCATACAAAAACTGCATAACATCAAATGTTCTGTCATTTAAAGAATAAAGAAAAACAAACCTTTTTTTTGCCTGTCTAGGTCTCATGACATTGCCTGAGGAATGACAATTTTGTGACAAGGTTTGTGACTCCTTCCATAGTGCTAAAAGAATAAAACGTATCAATAAAATTCCAAAATATATTAAAAAAAGAACAATTATGATGCATCTGTTCAATTAACTTAAAAGTCAAAAAGAAATATAATTACATATGAATAAACATTCATATTAAGAAAGGCAATTACAACAGCATCACCCAGGCAATGCAGGATTTGTCCTACTTACATTAAGAAAATGATACAGGTTTATTTGATCAGAAACAAATAGACTTAAGAAGAGTTTCTTTCCCAAAGTAGTGAGTGCAATCATTCCCTGCAGGCAAACAAAAAAATAAAAAATAAAAAATTAAAATGGAAAAAACCTCTACACCAGGGGTGGGCCATTCCACGTCCTGAGGGCCGGTATCCTGCAACCTTTAGATGTGCCTTTAGTTCAACACACCTGAATCAAGTAATTAGATGATTGAGAGGGACTGGAGGAACCGACTGTATACTGAGGAGAAAACTCAGCTATTTGATTCAGTTTTGTTTGACCAAGGATCAATCTAAAAGCTGCAGGATACAGACCCTCGGGAACTGGAATTTTCCACCC